GCTGCGACTATGTGGGCCACATACGTTTGGGAAGTGAGGGAATGGGATACGAGCGACCACAACATGATCCATGTTGAGGTGACGCGTGATCCGACCGACACAGTTGAGAGCATTGCTCCTGTGCCGTCCTGGAAGCTTTCCAATGCGCGCTGGCGATTGTTCGAGGAAGAGGTGGTAAGGGAGACATCCGAATTGCCGGAGGACATCGCCGAATCGCCGTTGGACAACCAAGTGGCTACACTGCGCTCTGTAGTGCACAGTGTGTGCGACAGAGTGCTGGGACGCAGCACGCCCAGAGCCGCGAGGAAAGTAGTTTGGTGGACTGCCGAGCTACATTCCAAACGCCGAGAGGTCAGGAGACTGAGGCGGCGGCTACAGGACGCTCGTCGGCACGAGTCCGACGCAGCAGAGCAACTTGTGGTTGCGTTGAGGATCTCCTCGGCGCAATACAAGAAGCTCATCCTGAGGACGAAGGAGGACAACTGGCGACGCTTCGTGGGAGACAACAGAGATGATCCATGGGGGCACGTCTACAAGATTTGCCGAGGACGCAAAAAGTGCACGGAGATTGGATGCCTTCGGACGGATGGTGGGCTGGTTGCAACATGGCGCGACTGTGCGGGTGTGCTCCTCCGCAACTTTTTCCCTGTTGCGGAGTCGAATGCGCACATTGCCATCACGTCCGAAGCTCCACCGGCCCTTGTGGTTTCCGAGGTTGATGCTTGCGTCGCCAGGTTGAAGAGCAGACGCTCTCCCGGCATGGACGGCATCACAGGTGCCATTTGCAAGGCATTGTGGCGTGCCATCCCTCAGCACATGACAGCGTTGTATTCCCGCTGCCTGGAGACCGGATACTTCCCCAAGGAATGGAAACACCCTAGGGTGGTTCCACTCTTGAAGGGACCCGATAAGGACAGGACGGATCCTGCTTCATATCGGGGTATCTGTCTGTTGCCAGTGCTGGGCAAAGTGCTTGAGGGAATCATGGTGAATCGTCTGAAGGACACCATACCGGATGGCTGCAGATGGCAATTTGGATTTCGCCAAGGACGCTGTGTGGAGGATGCTTGGAAGCACGTCGTGAGCACTGTTTCGGCCAGCCAGTCGAAATATGTGCTCGGAGTCTTCGTGGATTTCAAGGGAGCCTTTGACAACGTCGAGTGGGATGCTGCACTACGTCGTCTCCTCGAGCTGGGCTGCCGTGAAGCAGGCTTGTGGCGAAGCTTCTTCTCCGGCCGGAGTGCGAGCATCGTCAGCAGGCATGGAGTAGCCACTGTTCCGGTGACAAGAGGTTGCCCACAGGGGTCCATAAGTGGTCCATTCATATGGAACATCTTGATGGACGTGTTGCTCCAGCGCTTGGAGCCACTTGTAGCGCTCAGCGCGTATGCCGACGACCTGCTCCTCCTCATCGAGGGAAACGCCCGTTCAGAGCTCCAGCGAAAAGGAGAGGAACTAATGTCCATCGTAGGCGCTTGGGGAGTTGTAGTCGGCGTTGCCGTTTCAACTAGCAAGACGGCGATCATGCTGCTCAAGGGCATACTTCGACGGCCGCCCTTGGTACGGTTTGCTGGAGCAAGCCTGCCATATAAGCGCGAGTATCGGTACCTTGGCATCACAGTCGGTGAGCGGTTGAGTTTTCTCCCGCACATCACGGGCTTGCGTGATAGGCTGACTAGAGTCGTAGGGGCATTGTCTCGCGTACTGCGGGTCGACTGGGGTCTCAGTCCCCGCGCAAAGCGGACAATATATGCCGGACTCATGGTGCCCTGTGCACTATTTGGTGCCTCGGTTTGGTCTGTCGTGACGACGACGCAAGTGGTTGCCAGGAGGCACCTGCTTGCGTGCCAAAGGGCTATCCTGATTGGATGCCTACCGGTATGCCGAACAGTGTCCACCGTGGCACTGCAAGTACTTGCTGGAGCCCCCCCGTTTGATCTGGTCGCCAGACGCCTGGCAATCAGATTCAAACTCAAGCGTGACTACCCGCTGGAGGAGAGCGATTGGCTATACGGCGAAGATTTGGCAAATCTTAGCTGGAAGCAGAAGATGGCGCGACTAAAGGAATGCCTGCTGAGCGAGTGGCAACGCAGATGGGATGATGGTGACTCCCCAGGTCGGGTGACGCACAGCTTCATCCCGAACGCAGGCTTCGTCTACAGCGAGCCAAGGTTTGGCTTCACGCTACGCGCTGGATTCCTGCTGATTGGCCATGGATCGCTCAATGCATTTCTGCATGAGAGAAGCCGAAGCGACACGCCTGCATGTCTATGCGGCGCAGAGCGCGAGGATTGGCAACACGTTCTATGTGTTTGTCCGCTCTATGCAGATTTGCGAGACCTCGATGGACTAGGAGTGCAGCACACGGATGGCGAATGGATCTTCTCGGAAGTGGTGGCTTCGCAGGAAAGAATGCAGTTGCTGGACAGATACGCTGGCGACGCGTTCTCCAGACGGCAACAACTGATGGACCCAATGGCGACAGACGGGCCGAGAGCCCCGGACTTGGAGAGTCCCCCTCAAGGGTACCCTATCCGAGCCAGTCGGGGCTAAAAGGGGAGGGTCCACTGAGCCCTAAAGATCGGTACCACGGGTTGTTCAGCGGTCCAAGGCTGTTCATTGAGGTAGGCCCCCTAGTGGGAGCATCGTGGTGGCTGTGGTAGGCTGAATTTTACGCGGCAAGAGCCGCTAGGCTCCACGTGGAGTTGCGATCTCAACCGGGTGCCGAGACCCATAGATCGGAAGAGGTGATAGATACACTTCGCTCCTCACCAAGGGGGAAAGTATGCCCGACTAGTATACTTTCGAATTGGTACCAGGATGGGTCGCTATGTATTTGCTATAGCTTCTTATTCTGGGGCGTAAATTGGCGCATGTACCAGATTTACCGGGACATGTGCATTGCACTCAGCACATTAAACACCGTGGTTGAAATCCCTTCCTGTGGAACCGCCACGTTAAATAAAGCTGAGAGATCAGATTTATCTGTCTGGCACAGTGACCTGCCTGCCAACAGTTCTATACGCTCATAGCAAAAATATCGATCGTTTTCAACAGTCTTGAACCGGTCCCGCGTCTTCAATCGACCCATCATAAACTTTCGCTAGCAAATCCACACCATTCGCTATTTATCGCTACAAAACCTGCATATATAAACTTAAGTCCAGTAAACTGTGAAGTATTAACTGAACAATCATCATCTTTTTAATGACTTGCAAAACAACGCTACTGAAAAAGCTCAGTACCTCAACACTGTCTCTCATGCTATCCCTCTCTACGCAGGGGGGGGGACCAACAAATTAAATGTCTTTTGCAATATTATAGGCTAATGAACGACAAATAATTTACCCAATCTGTCTATACATATAAAACAAAGTCGTGACCGTTAAATCGCTTATAACTCGAGAACGACTGGAACAATATTCATGGTATGTGATTTTTTCTCCATCCAAGTTAACAGAGTAGCTTAAAAAACTATGGAAAAGCGACTCGGAACATCGCGATTTTAGAACAGATGGACTGATTTTAATGGCTTTTGATTTTTTTAGTTTTTCTCCCACCCGAATAGGAAAAACTTTTTAAAAACATTGGAAAAAGCGACCTCGGCTCGAAAAATCGCGCTTGGAAAACGTTAGACCGATTTGACAAATTTTAGAAAAAAAAAACATGTGCCTGTTTGTTGAAAAGGTCGGGAAATTGCGTGGAAAGTGGTAGATAAATTTGTGATTTGTGTGGTTTGTGTGAGTATTATCATCAATAATATGTGTATAAAGATTAATATAGATGCCGCGACGAAGAAGATCAAATCTTTCCCAACGGGCCATAATGCAATTAGGCTACGGAACAGTGCGAATCAATTAACTCATGAAGAACCGTAAACTGCACGAAAGCTTGCGATCATTGCATTGAAGTTTTCTGGATAAGCGCCTGTAAATCAATCGTAATCCTAATATTAATAGATGGTTAGTTAAAAGATGGTATGAATGAGTAAGAACGTGAATCCGTACAAGAGATAATAACACAAAGCATCAATGTGCGTACCGGGAGACGCAATGGGAGTCGATCAATGGAATATTGGGTATTTTAAATCCTCCAATTATTGCAAAATGTGTTATTCGACTCACTTCTGATCCGTGCAACCACAATGTGCCACAGTGAAGCGTGGTATAGCTAGAAAAGATTTTCATGTGGAAAAAACGGGTAAAAAGACTCAGCTGAAAAATTAGTTTACTGTCAGAAAATCGGACAAAAGAATATATATTTGATTTCACCGCAATCATTTCTGTTTTATCAACAAACTGAAACAAAACCGACTTACAAAAAAAATTTGACTTAACAGCATGCACACCGATCAATCGCAAGTTTGTTCATATATCAAAAATGTATGGTTTTCGCAATGAAAAAAGCCAAATAAAGAAATTAATTTTCAGTTGCTACCCCCGCCTCCTACAGCAAGACACCCGCTACTCATTCTCTTTCTCGCTCGCACACTCTGCCTTGTTTAGTGCGGGTGCGCCCGCTAGCGGAGAAGATGTAGAATATACATAGTAGATATAGCAAAAAAATGTAAAATGTAACATTTTTTAAAATTCTACATAAATCATAAGCTCAAAAATATATATACTGACTGAGTAGGGGTATAAGTAGAGTCGCGCCACAGAAGCGACCCACACGTTCCTTCTCGTCTTTTATTTAATAGACGATTCTTGAGAAAATCCACAAAATCCGTCTAACATATTCAACTATCTAGAAAATAAGAGAAAAATGTTTTTTAGTCCCGGATAAGGGTATATTTTGAGCTGTTATTAACCTAGAAATTTTGGTACCGTGCGACATGTCCCGTGATAATATGGTTTTAATTAAATTTAAAAAAAATTGTTCATATTACTTTAAAACGTATCATGTTGTTCACTTAAGTTTGTACTTCAGTGGAAAGCAAACAAATAAAAATGTAGTAATGTACTTCTACTAATATATACATATACTATATTTAATTTCAGAAAATCTTTGACAGGAAATCAATTTATAAGTGATGCCTGTTTTGGTTACTATAAACGCTATCAGCTATGCAATGACTTTCCATGCCCAGCAAAATCAAAAGGTTTTCGTGCTAATCAATGTGCAGCGTACAATGGCATACTATTTGAGGGACATCGATATAGCTGGCAGCCTTATAGAAAGGGTATGCTTTTATAGAATTAAACTACAATAAACTAAATAGTTAACAAATTTAAAAGCAACGTTTAATGGAAATGGCATTGACTAATTGTAAAAATGTCCCAAATATAAGGAGATTCATTGACTATTAGCCGTTTTAAACTGCCGCATCATTGTCGATGGTGCGGAAAATGATGCGAGTCGTTTACAGCAAAGCCGTATCTTTTTTCGCATCATTTTTCAGCTTTGTTGTTATTGTTTGATGTGATAAAAACAGCTTTTTGCTATCGAACCCATCGATATCCGTCGGTACACCGAATAATTACAGTATGTTGTAAAAATACTAGACAGAATACGGCAACACTTGCCAATGATGCCCCGCATGATTAAAGATGCGGCCGCATCATTGTCTTCTTCTATCCACATTGTCGCATGTTCTATTTAACGGAAAAATCCAATGATGCGCCCAGTATAAAAAGGCTATATGACAAAAGATGGCACTACGTATAATTATCGATTTTATCAGCATGATACAGAGCCGGGTTAAGGCACTTACCAATTTTTCTTAAAACCAATTTTTAAGTTGGGCTTAAAAAAAAAATTATATGAAAAGAACACAAGCTAAATTGGCCTGTTGGTGGTGTTAATTATATGTCAATGCATCAATAAGTCATGTTTTTTTTTATTTTGCATTTAAGAATCGGTTTGTTTTATGAAGAGTCGAATACTTTTCATTCCGGCAAAGAAAATATTTCCGTTTCGAAAACGGAAAAATTTTTCAAAAGTAAATCCGAAAGTTTTTGCGTAAGTGAAAACCGGTGCCTGTCTGTATCTTTATTACGGTTATCCTGCGTGACCTCAGAGCCTATAAAATGTAGAGAATTTAGATTTCAGAATCCTGTGATTATCACACTGAAACAGGTACATAAATATATCTCAAATTCGCTCAAATCTGTGGCATCCATAATTTTAAAATAAGGAGAAAACAAAAAACGCAAAAAAATTCCCCGTTACTGACTCCCACGCCTTATTTATGCTTCGCGCTCTTTCTTTCTGGAAAAAAACTTCATTCTTTCTGAAAAAATTTAACAATTATATTTGTAGTAGAAATTTCCGTCCCATAAGAATTAACACATTGAAATCATTTTCAAAGTCGGATCACATTTCACATAGCAAGTTGTTAATAGCTAATACATAGTTAATCTGAAAGGATATCAAACAATTTTTCTTCTCGAAGGGAGCCTTCGTTTTTTATTTGTAATACTTTTGTTTCAGATGACGCTGAATGTGAACTAAACTGCATGCCATTGGGAATGAAATACTATGCAACTTTGAGCGAATCTGTTATTAATGGGACTCCTTGTAAACGGTCAGCGGAATATTATCGGTTAAATTTCTTGGGACGTGCTTTGTGCGTTGATGGTGTTTGCAAGGTGAGTCTAAACACTTAATTATTTTTCACGAAATAATCTTTCTATCTCCCATGTCATTAAGTTATATGTATGTATTTATACGTACAAAATTATCATTTTCGAAATACCTATTTACATTCTTGTATGCGCTTCCAAATTGAAAGAAAAATCCACATATAGACGATAGACGATTGGATATAATTACATATTTACATTGTCCATATGAGTATGTTGTTGTTGAAGATGAATGGACGATTAAGGTTACTATAGCCATTTCCGTAAGTCCATTTGTTTCTATGCAAACGAGTCATTGTCAAAATCTGACCACTTTATCCTAACTAGCTTCATTCGGGTTGCACTGCCACTGTACCGAAACTTTGTAATATTCAGAAAATATTCATACATATGTATGCTCACCTGTGCTTGAAATGCCGTTCTTTTATTTTGTATCACACCCGCGTCGGTTTGTTTCGACTTTCCATCTTGACTTCAAACGATCGGAAATTTCTTAAAATTACAGACCTACACATCTGTCCATGTTTTGCTATCCAAATTTGTAGCTCAATCTTACCGTCTAGGACATATTAAGCTTTAGCTTTAGCTTAAGGATACACAAACTTATCTCTATAAAAATTAAAAAAAAAATAATTTAAAAAAACTGTAACCATAAAAAAACCCATAATTCATTATAAAAACTTAAGTCTATAAAAAAATGGTAAGGCAAGTTTTGAGTCACTTCTGCGGACGCGAATCCACTTTTATACCCGTACTCAGTCAGTATATAAATTTGTGAGCTTATGATTTATGTAGAATTTTAATATATTTTACATTTTTTGCTACATCTGTTATCTACATCTAGATCTACAATGTCGATTCCACATATTAAATTTAAATTATACATACACAGTGTATATTCTACATCTTCTCCGCGAAAGGTTGCGCACTGCACAGGGAAAGGTGTGTGCGAACGAGAAAGAGAATAAGTAGCGTCAGCAGCGCCGGAGAGGGTGAGGTAGCCACTGAAAATTAATTTCTTTATTCTGGCTATAATTCTGTGCCAGATTCTGAAATCATATAGATATGGTCATTCTCTACGATACTTCGTTTTTTCGTATTTTCCAAATTGTCGAAGTCACCAATTTTCGTTCTTTGTGGGGGCGGGGCGAAATTTTAAAATACGCTTGTAGCAGTGATGTCACATGAGTCAACAAAATTTTTTTGCTCTAGCCCTTATAGAGTCTGAGTACTAGGCGACAAACAAGACGGACGGACGGAGAGACGGACAGACGGTCAGACATACATGGCTACATCGACTCGGATATGGATGCTGATCCAGAATATATATACTTTATAGGGTCGGAAATTTTCCTTCTGTGCGTTACACAAATCTCCTATTACCACAAATACAAAATACCCCTTAACTCTTTGAGTACTGCTATAAAAATGTAATTTTGATGCCAGAGTTTTATTTGATTTTGCATAGTGTTATAGATTTCATAAACATGTGGATTCCACGAGAAGGGCTTTATCGCTTTAGTCAAATATTTTTTTCAGATTGGTATATTTAAATAATCTTTCTTTCTGATTCTATATACTTTTAATCTACTGTTACTTAATAAAAATTTTACTTCATTATGATGTTGAAATTGAATACTAGAAGTAACATGAGATTTCGGCAGGAGCCATACTTGACTAATGAAATCTTTTCAGCTGGGCTGGTGTTGAATAAATGTATTTTTTTCTGTTTGTAGAACAAGGAAATGCAAGGGAATCGATAATTCGACGCCAAATCTCCGTTTTCAGCAATTTTAAACTGTTTAAAATCGGTATTTTTCCATTCATTTCCGTGCCAGGTTTGCTGTGCGTCATACAGTGAAAAACAATCTAAATGAATTAACATAATTGGAGATAATATTTATACCTAGTCCTCATAGGGTATGTTAATTTCGTACTAATGTAGGTTACAGACTGAATGATAATTAAATAAAGAAAAAATTAAATTAATTTAAATTTTAATAAAAATTATAATTTTTCCGATGCATATTTGCCATCTATCTAAATTTTCATTGTGGTTGGTCAATTTCGTTATACATATATAGTATGCATATATAAAGTTTTTATCCACATTGGAAGGAATAACAAATAAACCTAGCATTTGAAGAAAATAACTAATTGCGAATACCTTTTGGGATTTCAGAGATCGAAAGGATGAAGAGGATTTAAAGGGGCTGCCAACATGTGAAGATGCAGTATATTCGTATTATCCAAAGCGCTGATACAATTTTGGAATTTTTTCCCCTAATTTCAGTTGATGCTTCCCTGTACTCTTTTGGTCTCTCTCTCTCGCAATCAAATTGGACTTTACTCATTTCAGATAAACGTACATACATAAGTTTACAGTATATTATTTAATAAACTTATATAATATAATATATATATATAATATATATATAATATTATATATATATATAATATATATATAATATATATATATAAGTTTATTAAATAATATACAAATAATAAAGTTTAGTTCTAAGATGAGACATATGTACATATGTATAGAAACTGAGTAGCGGGTATCTAACTGTCGAGGCACGCACAAATTTGATATAACAGTCCGATTGGTCTACCTTGCCTTTGTTACTAAGATATAAATAAATCATTTAAAAAATTAGTATTCGTTGCGAAGTGAAATGCAACGAACGTACAGTTTCAGGCGATCGGGCATGTGAAATAACGGAATTTTTGTAAATAAAAAAAGTTCAAGTATTCTAAACAAATGTTTATTGATATACAAATTCTAGTGCTATTTTACGGAATCATAGTGGGTTTTGCTTTGTATGCATAAATATGTAATGTTGTGTGCGGACTCCTTTGATATCACACTGTATCATACCTTCCTTTTCATACGCCCCTAACGCCGCCACAAAGGGCGAAAATCTGTGGCATCCACAATTTTAAAGACTCGAGAAAACCAAAAATGCAGTCATACATATGACTAATGAAATCTTCCAAATTGATAATGTTGATCTAGCGAGCTTTGCACTACCTGTTGAAATTATTGTTATATATTTAGTATATTAGTTGCACGGTATAGGGGCCGGCATGTTGACTAAGTTTATTAGTTGCACGTTATAGGGCTGTAGGGTTGCTGCAGTAGCGAAATGATGAAGGCGATATACAGAGAACGGCCGCTGCCATTCTTAAGCTAGTGCAATATTTATATGAAGTGGGCAAAATACGAATTTTCAAAATTGTTTTACCTTTATGACACACCTTTTGACTAACCCTAAAACTGGTGCTAAGGTCGATTTTGGTAAACTATTCCTTTTCGAAATAGCCGAGTCGATATAGCCGTGTCCGTCTGTCCGTCATGATGAGTGCCTAGATCTCAGAGACTATTATTAGCTCAAAAATGTATATACTGAGTACGGGTATAAGTAGAGTCGCGTCCCCAGAAGCGACTTACACGTCCCTTATCGTTTACATCTCTTTTCTCCGATCTGAAATGCCGGCGCATCTGATAAAGAACTTCCAGTGCTCAAAAATATAGTTTTTGAAAAAGTATGGTTTTTTATTTAGAAAATATTAGGCAAAGTTGACCATATTTTAATCAATCTAGTATACTTTTTAAGACTACATTTTAGAAGATTTTTCTTTCCAATTCCTTTTATTTCATGAAAATGTCTTGATTCATTCAGAAGGTATTTATTTAGCAAGCTGAAATGTCGTAAAGCCCCATTGTGCGATAGCCCTGTATGTGCATATTTTCTCATGAACAAAAAATTTTTCCGATAACACTATGCAACAAAATCCAGACAGAAAAAAACCATAAACCAAAAATTTTAAAGCCACAAATATAAAAACTTTTAAAATTTAGTCTGCAAAAGTACATGGCGCTACAATATCTAGATGCTTTACAATAAATAGTCAAAGTTTAACTTTGTTGCCAGTATGCACTGTAAAATGATATGTAAAATGATACAAAAAAGTTATTTAACATTTAATTGTTAACTTAAAAAGACTTTGCAAAAAAGAAAAAAAAACAATTTTTTTTAATTGTTCTTATTTTTGGTTTACTGTAAAATATGCCTCTATTTCCGATGGATCGTTAGGAATATCTAATAATCTTAACATTTATGAAGAATAAATACTTTCTGATTCTTTTTGGATTTCACATGTCTAAAGATAAAATAAATGGATCTGAAGAGGCTGCCAATATGTTGAAAAGATCCTGATTTTGCCTTGTTCGTGATATCTTACAAGTATTCATGTACCTAAATTTCTTGTAATCCTTGTTTCTCGTTTCCTGGGACTCCTCTGACATCTCTCCAATTGGTAGGCTCTGATGCTCTATTAAGATTTGACCATGTGCCAACATTTTATGAAGCGTGGGAGTAAGCTTTTTTTCAGGATACTTTTCAAATAACAACTCTGCAATCTTCGGAGCATATTCACCAAATTTGCGGGAGCTAATTTTGTCCTTGCAGTTTAAAATATTCAAAATTACAGCCAATCTTTGGATAATGCCTTATCCACTCTAGTTATTTTTGCTGTAACTTCGTTTTCCTTAAAGAATTTCCGGGATGAGTTTCCATCGGTTGTGTTCCCGGATCCATATTTGGGGCAGGGAACATCAGTCCAAGTTTCGCAAAGAATTCGCTTCTGGGGACGCGACTCTACTTTTATACCCGTACTCAATTAGCATATACATATGTGAGGTTACGATTTATGTGAAATCTTTAAATATTTATTATTTTTAAAAGGGAGGGGCGAAATTTGAAATACACTTGTAACAGTGTATTATCACATGAGACTGGAAACAAAATTTGGTTGCTCTAGCTTGTATAATATCTGAAAACTAAGCGACAAACAAGACGGACAGATGGAGGGACGGACAGATGGAGGGACGGACAGATGGAGGGACGGACAGACAGACATGGACTCGGCTATTGATGCTGATCAAGAATATATAAATTTTTTGGGGTCGAAAACGTTGCACACATCCACTTTTACCACAAAAACAATATACCCCTTAAGTCTTTGAGTACGGGTGTACACCAAAAATACATACATTCAAAAAATAACTTTTTTTACATTATGTGAAGAAAATAAAAGAAAAACTGCTCGGACACGAAAATATACTTATATAACTGGAAGTGCCAAAGTCATATTATCTACCTGTTTTTTCAATTAGATGTGCACTGATTAGAATCAATCTTTTTTTGCATCAAAGCGCTCAGACCATTAGAATTCCATCTTAGCATACAAAATTGTAATGCTGGTGCACTTAGCTTTATTATGGCTGGTAAGATATAATGAGTTGGACTTTGGGAAGCACAGTGGGCCATTTGGCTGATCTAGTGGAACGAAATTATTTACTTCTAAAATAAAAAAATTAGTGCTTAGTAAAATTTTCTCAGTCTAAATCTGACTTTGTGTTGTCGAGGAGGAACCTCGACATTTTTAAAAGGCTCAAAACTCATGAAAAATACCATACGGTACGTTGCTGGTCCAATGCCAAAGAAACACGTTCAGATACCAAAAATTCAAACCTTTTTCGTTTGCCTAATCGGCAGTTGGGCCCGCAAACTTTCAAAAGGTATTTTTTTGTCAAGTTTTTACATTTTTTTAGGTTTGGCTAATGAATTATAGCTGCACCACCTCTCCATTGATTTTAATGAGCAATACCTTAAACGACGCCTAATTAATGCGTCTATCTAAAACTAAAAATTAATGCCAAGAAAAAATTTTTTTATGTAAAAAAACCATAATTCTTAAAAAAAAATGTAAATCCCGAAATGTATCAGAAAAAGTCATTTTGGGCCACAGCGTAAATGTCGTGTTGACTAGTGTTTTGTAGTTATCGTCTTGATAGATCAAGCAAATCGCCCACTGTGCAATGCGTCGCGATGTCCAATTTATGGTGATATATAATTCTAAATATTATTTTAATACAACTGAAAATGTTTTTTTTTTCTTTTAAGGCCGTTAACGCTGATGGTTCCATTAATGGAGCGTATGCTCACAGTGGCGCTGTTAGTTGTGGAGGATTGTTATGCCGGCCAGTAACAAAAATTTTTACTCGAGATCCACAACCAGACGATGTCTTGGTTCACGTTGCTACAATTCCAACTGGAGCCTCGAATATATCGATAACTGAGCTAAGAAATAGTGTTAATTTGCTAGGTAAAACTATATGCGATTTACACATTTTAAAGCACCGATTATTGTCGGTCTAAAGTTTTACGTACTTCCCAGCAAAAAAGCATAGTTAATAGCGAAAGTATTGTGTCGGAAAGCGGGTCGTATGAAGCGGTCGGTGCCACATTTGACTATCACCGAATCGATGGAGTCCAGAACTCTGATGGAGTTACCGAATGGATAACAAGTACTGGACCAATATGGGACTCAATGGAACTTTTGGTATGAAGTTCTAGTAGTTTATTATATCTTAGAATAAATACAACTAAATATATTTATTTCTTTAGATATTTGGGAAAAGTCAAAACCCTGGTATAAAGTATGAGTACATGCTTCCGATAATATCTGATTCTGAAGAAAACGAGCTCTCTGTGGAAAATAATAATGGTTTGTTACGATCTGGAGGGGAGAACGCTAGTCCTTTAAGTAATTCGCGTACTGGAAGACGGCGTAACTTTACCTGGAAAGTGGTAGGGTTTAGTGCCTGTACAAAGTCCTGCGGTGGGGGGGTACAAGCTCCTATTGTACGTTGCATTCGCGAAAATCTTTTAAGGTATTACTCACAACGCCGGTGTATTCATTCTGAAAAACCAGTGCTCAATGAGAACTTATTGCACTGCAACACACAACCATGCCCCGCCTATTGGCACTTTGAAAAATGGGGCGAGTGTCGCTGCCTGAATGAAAGGGCATTTAGACGTCGTGAAGTAAGTTGCTTGCAAGAACTAGCATCTGGAACTGTTATACAAGTTGATAACACAGCATGTATGGAGGAGATGCCCCCCACTCAGAAGCAATGTGAGTGTCCAAATAGTCGAGGTGGTGACCTTTCTCGTTATCGTCTACACTCAAACTCCGAGTCTGCAAATAGTACACGAAGACAACGAATCATGATTGATAACAGTAGCATAAATGCGGTCTGGTTGACTTCCGAATGGAATCAGTATTGCTCAGCTACGTGTGGCTTAGGAGTAGAGTATCGTACAATTTTCTGTGATCGATCTGAGGTTGGTGCAGTTCGCTGTGATCCAAACAAAACTCCAGAAAATCGACGACCTTGCGTAAAACCTAGCTGTGAAGATGGCGAGTGGTTTGTTGGCCCTTGGTCGTCTTGTAATGGGGATTGCTTTAACCTTAGACGAAGTCGAGTAGTGCTATGCATAAAAAATAAATTAATTGTGGATCATAAAATGTGCAATTTGAAGCTAAAACCACAATTGTTTGAAAAATGCTCCCATGATGAGGAAGAAATTACTTTCTGCGCTCCTCGTTGGCACTACTCTGAATGGTCACAGGTAAAAAGCAACTATTAAAGTTGATTTAATGTAAGTTATATAAAATATAATCTAAATATACACTTTTTCAGTGTACCAAATCTTGCGATGGTGGAACACAGCGACGCAACTTAAGATGCTTGGAATACGATGGAACACAGAATAACTTACGTGACTCAACCAAATGTCGGTATGCGGCCAGGGAGACAATATTTCGTAGCTGCAATACACACGACTGCAATGGTACATAATTTCAACTGACTTTTTATTTTTCTGATATAAGTATTGCTCGTATATATGTAGGTATTTTTCAATTTTTCCGTTTTTCAGAACATCACCAAAATTACTCTTCATCTACGTGTACCGATAAACTTTCCAACTGTAAATGGGCTGCTAAAGGAAAGCTGTGTAGTTATGAATACTACAGAATGAGTTGTTGTATCTCTTGCGCAGGCGGAATATAGTGGTATTATAAAATTAAGATTAGTTTATCCATTACGACTATTTACCACCAATCACCAACTTTATTAATAATAACTTATATTTATTATTTTTTATTATTTTAATAAAACTAATTGAATTTTTTATGATCTGGTTTAATTTAAAACTTTTCTGAATACATTACCAGCAAAAGCAACAGATTTATGAATTTTGGTGTGTTTATATTGTGCGAAAGATAAAGCACTTTAAAATTATACTTGGTTTTTTTTTCATTCGCCTAAGGGCTCGCGCACACACAATGTGAAAGCGGAGCCGAAAAAATCAAACAAACTGCACCGGGACAAGTGCGCACATTGCTGATTAGCTAACCTGAAAGCTCGCACATCGATTAAGCAAATTTGTTTTTAAAATAAACGAGAAGGAACGTGTGAGTAGCTTCTGAGGACGCGACTCTACTTATACCCGTACTCAGTCAGTATAACCATTTTTGAGCTTATAATTTTTTAAAATTTTAGAAAAAAAAAAATTTTACATTTTACATTTTTTTGCTACATCTGCTATCTACATCTACATATACAATGTATATTCTACATCTAACATGTAGATTGTACATGTTCCATTTCGATTCTACATCTCCTCCGCTAGGGGTTGCTCGCGCACTGAACGCGGCAGAGTGTGCGAGCGAGAAGGAAAATGAGTTGCGTTTTAGTTTGCTGGAGGGGGAAGGGGAAGCAGCTGAAAATGAATTTCTTCATTCTGGCTATAATTATAATCCGATCTGATTCAGATTCGGCAATCTGGTAAATATGGTCATTCTCTACGATACTGCGTTTTTAGTTTTATCGTATCTTTAAAATTGTGCCTGCCACAGATTTTCGTCCTTTGTGGGAGGGGAAAAGGGCGGGGCGAAATTTTAAAATACACTTGAAGAAGTGTGATATCACATGAGTCTGGAAACAAAATTTGGTTCCTCTAGCTTTTATAGTCTCTGAGATCCAGGCGTCAAACAAGACGGACAGACGGACAGACAGACATGGCTCTATCGACTCGGCTATTGATGCTGATCAAGAATATATATACTTTATGGGGTCGGAAACGTTTCCTTCTCTGCGTTACACACATCCACTTTTACCACAAATCTAATATACCCCTTAACTCTTTTTTGAGTACGGGTATAAATAGAGCCATGTCTGTCTGTCCGTCTTGTTTGACGCCTGGATCTCAGAGACTATAACAGCTAGAGGAAGCAAATTTTGTTTCCAGACTCATGCGATATCCCACTGCTACAAGTGTATTTCAAAATTTCTCCCCGCCCCTTTCCGCCGCCACAAAGAACGAAAATCTGTGGCAGGCACATTTTTAAAGATACGATAAAACTAAAAACGCAGTATCGTAAAGAATGCCCATATCTACCAGACTGCTGAATCTGAATCAGATCGGATCATAATTATAGCCAGAATGACGAAATTAATTTTCAGTCGCTTCCCCTGCCCACTCCTGCTAACGACAACGCAACTCATTTTCCTTCTCGCTCGCACACTCTGCCGCGTTCAGGTCGCGAGCGGAGGAGATGTAGAATATAAATGGTACATCTATAATCTACAGTTTTATATGTATAATATACAATGAAGATGTAGATGTAGATAATAGATGTAGCAAAAAAATGTAAAATGTAAACTTTTTTTAAATTCTAAAATTCGAAAAAATTAAATCAAAATGAAAAATATATATACTGACTGAGTACGGGTATAAGTAGAGTCGCGTCCCCAGAAGCGACTCGCACGTTCCTTCTCTTTATAGTTGTAGTTGTAGTTACAGTTTTAATGGTGCCACTTGCATCCAATTTTCAAGCCCAGCACATACTCCCAGGATCATCACTGCCAAAACATTTGCCCGGCTGACGAGACAAGCCGTCATCGCTTTAATCAGCTCAGCACGTCCTGGTTCCGGGGTGCTGGGATTACGATCAGCAGGTGCCCGGGAGTCAGCGCGTCTCCGTCGCTTGGGTCTGGGCTTAGTGGTCCGAGCGGGTGCGACCGTCTGAGCGTTTACTATCCAACCACGCTGTTTAAGGATGCTCCCAAGTGCTTGTGGGCCGGCATGAAAAATTGGTTGACTCTGAGTCCTGTGACCTCAGGTCAGCTCGAAAACCACTTAGTCAGTTCAAACCCTACAGGTTGAGGAACCTGAGCCACGTCAGACTTAATTACTGTTGGCTCCTCTACGCAACCAGCGCCAATCAATATATCATTGACATTAAAGTCGGACCGAATAACTTCAGCAGCTTTTGGGAATGAGAGCTTTGCAGACTCACTCAACCTCTTCAAACACCGAATAGCCAAAAATGCCAAAAAAAATCCCTTATGTTACAGTGTTGAGCTGGTATACTCTCAAGGACTCAGAGGGGTCTCTACTCCACACTATGAGCTGAAATTGTCTATCCGATTTATCTACCCAGACTTGGCGGTACTTCTTCTTGACATCGGCTGTCAAGATGTTCTTGTGTAGTCTGAAGCGGAATAGCGTCGAATATAGCTTATCCGACCATCAATGTGCCGTTCCAGGCCACCTGATATGACGTTTTTCAAAAAAACGAAAACGATACAACACACACTGATGTTGAATATAATAATGTGGTGTTTTAGGGATTGAATTGTCTGTAGGAGACATGTAATCTGAAGGATAAGTAACACGAGTCAACACGATATTTAGGCTGTGGCCCAAAATTCATTTTTCTTATAGATTTCGGGGCTTAAAATTTTTTAGCGACTTATGGTTTTTTTTGTATGGTTTAGTTTTTTTTTTAAATAATGTTTTAAAATTTGGTATTTTACAAAAAAAATTTTTCAGAGGTAGTGCTTTTATTTTTTACTTAGCTTAAGTATCTTATACTTGGTTGCAAAGAACTTTGCAGTTCTTAAAGGCTGACAAATGCAGCTATAAATCCCACCAAAATACTTTGTATTTGCATCTTAACTCCTGGAAGATATTAAGCTTTCAAATTCAAATTTCATAATTTTTTGCGGTATTTTTTCCTGAAATTTTGAACTCGGGAAAAATTGAAAAAAATAATGCTTCGCATGCATTTTTAGTTTTAGATAAACGCATTAATTAGGCGTCGTTTAAGGTATTGTTCATTAAAATTGCCCAGGATCTGATCTGAACGGCAGTTTTACTTTTTGCTCCTATATGTTCAGGCGATAAAGACTTTTTTGAAGACCAAAACTTTTGTAGGGTGTTGTGGATAACACAATCAGGAATCTTTAGTCTTTTCAGTAAATTTTAAGGATATACATACAAATTTTTTATTTGGTTTTATGTTGCTACAAGTTTTTAAACGTATGTGATAAATTTGGTTTTTTATTGCTTGTTACCGTTCTTAAAATAATTTTTCCGGCTGTCTTCCTTTGTCATTCGAATCAGATTCCCTTATGAGAGCCCACACATAGTCGCCCAACATATTCTCATTCCAAACACCTTGATACAGTCGTTCCATAGCTTTTAATTGTTGGTGAAATCTCTCTCCGTGTTCATCACTAACGTCCCCTAGGTTTGTCGGAAAAAAGTCTAAATGGGAGTGCAGGAAATGGATTTTTAGTGTCATTTTGGCTCCAATTGTTTCATAATTCTCAATTAGGTCTTAAATTAGGTATTGCTGTTACCAAGAAAATTTGTTGTAAGCAGTCGGAATGAGTTCCAGGTTCTGGTTTTCTCCATGGCATTGAAGTAAAACAAACTGTCCATACCTTGGACTTGGTAAAAAAAATGACAGGTCCTTTTTGTTTCCTTTAATCCGATTTTGGCAGTTGGACCAGCAACGTACCGTACGGTATTTTTCAGGTAAAATGAGTTTTGAGTCGTTTTGGCTAAACGGCTGCAACTTAGCAGTTTATCCATCGATTCTTACAAACGATACCTTAAACAACGCCTAAATAATGCGTCTATATAAAACAAAAAATGTTTGCCAAGAAATTTTTTATTTTCCTGAGTTTTTAAAGTCAAAATTTCGGAATAAAATACCGCAAAAAATGAAGAAATTTGAATTTGAAAGCTTAATATCTTCCAGGCGTTAAGCTGCAGCTACAAAGTGTCAGCTTTTCAGAACTGCTTCTTCTTGTCTTGTAGTTGCTAGTGGCGGTGGTAATGGTGGCCTCGTGCTGGTCATCTCTTTTGACCTCGTCATTCGTCTTGGTGTTGTATTGGCTTGGTTGATTGAATTGCCTTGAATCAATGGCAGGTATGCGACCCACTCCCTACCCGCAACCGATTAATCGACCCATGTAACGGGAGACATAATAACAAACGACAAATCATTGTAGCTGAGTCAACAACAACCGCTTCTGCAGCAATTTCTGCCAACGATGCGATCGCTCTTCAGAGGGCAAAAACACTGGTGCAATTGCTGACTATCACAATTGCTCAATAACACAATATTATTTTAAATCCAAATTAATTCAATATTAATTCCAATTCCCTTTTACCATATTCTTACTAAACTCACTGCCTTTTCACTCGTTCTCTACAACAGCAATCATCAGAGGCTGTCGCCGTGTCTTCAGACCCTCATTTGCTCACCGTAGGTAACCCTCTCCGCAGTCCAACTGTTTCAAGTTCTATTTGCGACAACAAAATTGTAAACGGTTGCATACCATAACGTATGCATACCAAATCACACACACACACGGAACGGAAGAGGGAAAACACTGATAGAAAAATGACATAGTAAAAACGAGAAGGAACGTGTGAGTCGCTTCTGGGGACGCGACTCTACTTATACCCGTACTCAGTCAGTATATACATTTTTTAATTTTTTAGAATTTTAAAATTAAAAAAAAAAAACAATTTTACATATTACATTTTTTTGCTACATCTGATATCTACATCTACAATGTATATTCTACATCTAACATGTAGATTGTACATGTTCCATTCAGATTCTACATCTCCTCCGCTAGGGGTTGCTCGCGACCTGAACGTGGCAGAGTGTGCGAGCGAGAAAGAGATAGGTAGCGGGTCTCTGGCAGGAGGCGGCGGAAGAATCAACAGAAAATTAATTTCTTCATTCTAGCTATAATTATAATCCGATCTGATTCAGATTCGGCAATATCGTAGATATGATAATTCTCTACGATACTGAGTTTTTA